CAAGTAAGAGAACAAATCACTCGAATAAGTAAAGAAATAAATAAAAGTTTACGGAAAGACGACAAACTCCACAGGCAACAAATTTTTGAGTCATACATACAGAAAACTGGAGCGATAAAGAAAGCTTTCAACGATCTTAGGAACAAATCAGAGTGGGCACCTAATTTGAGGAATAAAGCCGGGAAACATGTCACTCAAAGACCGGAAATATTGAAAGTAGCAACAGAGTTTTTCAGGAATTTATATGCATCGGAAGAAGCGCTGTCCATCGAACCCCAACCCATGCAATGTTTAGACCATAAATCAACTTTATATACAGGTGTGCTTAAGGAAGAGATTAGGTACGTCATAAATTCACAAAAAATGAATAAAGCACCGGGCGAAGACAATATCACCAACGAGTTACTGAGAGCTCTATCAGAACCGTTACAAAGCACTCTAAAAATTTTATTTGACAACATATTGATCACCGGAACTACTCCGAAGCAGTGGTCTGACTCTACCATCGTCTTATTGTACAAAAAAGGTGATAGGAGTGAACTCAATAACTACCGACCTATCAGTCTAATGTCGAACATATACAAACTATTTTCTAAATTAATTCTAAACAGAATAACAAACATTTTGGATGAAAACCAGCCAAGTGAGCAAGCAGGCTTCCGAAAGAGCTACTCCACTTTGGATTATATTCATGTGGTGGCACAGGCAATTGAAAAGGTCAAGGAATATAACAAAACACTGTATATATGTTTCATAGACTATAAAAAAGCGTTCGATTCCTTAAAACACAATATAATCTGGGATACACTTCGTGAACAAGGCGTGGAATCACAATATATTACTGTGTTACAAAACATATATAACGAAAGCTGTGCAAAGATTAGACTAGAAAAAGAGGGAGAGAAATTTGCTATAAGGAAAGGTGTCCGACAGGGTGATCCATTATCACCAAAAATATTTACAGCCGTTCTAGAGAGTATATTTCGAAAACTAGATTGGTCGAAGAAGGGACTGCTAGTAAATGGAGAATATCTAAGCCATCTCCGTTTTGCAGATGACATAGTTGTCTTCGCTGAAAATCATGAAGATTTGTCTAGAATGCTGAGTGAACTAACACAGGAAAGTATAAAGGTGGGTCTGTCTATCAATTTCACAAAAACCAAAATAATCACAAATAGTGAAGTGAAAAATACAGTCATTATTGATGGTCAGGACATAGAATATGTCAAAGATTATATATATCTAGGTCAATCTGTTTCTTTTGAACACCACACCGAGGATGAAGTACGTCGAAGGATCGCTATAGCTTGGAAGAAATACTGGGGTTTAAAAGAAATAATGAAAAATAAAGAAATCAATATCAATATCAAGAGAAAGCTGTTTGATGTAGCGATTCTGCCTTGTTTAACATACGGGTGTCAGAGTTGGTCATTAAGAAAATGTGAAGAGGAAAAGCTAGCAATATGCCAACGTAAAATGGAAAGGAGCATGTTAGGGATACGATTACGGAACAGAATTACTAACCATGAAATTAGAAAAATGACCAAAATTACAGATGTTACAGCAAGAATAAGATTACTGAAATGGAATTGGGCGGGGCATATATGTCGGATGGCTAATGATAGATGGACGAAAAAGGTCACGGAGTGGATCCCTAGAAACGGGAAAAGATCACAAGGAAGACAAAGGAAACGTTGGGCAGATGTATTCCTAGAAAGACAAGGACCTACCTGGATGACCAAAGCCAGAGACAGGCAGTACTGGAAGGAAATGGGGGAGGCCTACGCCAAGGAGGCGACTACTACTTAGTCAAAATTTGTAAATAAAAATTTAAAATAATATGGATAAAATAATATTAATTTATATACATGCATGCAATGTTACACATAGAATTAATGTTTAAAATGATTTGATACAGAATGAACTAATTTTTAAAAAATATTCTAAGGTTTTTAAAAATCAAATAAGATATATATTATTTATAGTGATGATGAAATATACCACTAAATGTTATTTATTATTTAGCACAATTAATTAATTATTTTCAATTCGTTACAATGTTATTTTTATTTCACCTACCACAATTAATTAATGATTATATTATTTATTGAAAGATTAGTTAATATTTAGCATCAATTTACTGGTTATTATCAAATTTACTGCAATGTTATTTAATATTTAGAATAAGCAAATTACTTTGTATGTACAATGCATTACTAATTAGATTCTCATCAAGTATTGTAAGATAATTTAGTAGTAGAATAAATGGCTTTTTTATTTTATTTATTTATATAACTAGTCTACAAGGTACAAGCTACAAGCTCTACTGACTACTTGGTTTGAAACTAGATGACGTTGTGTGTAAGATGTCCGAAATCCTGGCTGCTAAGCCAAAGGTCTTGGATTCTATTCTCACCCAGGATAAATAATTGTTATTATTAGGTTCTGTGTTATTGGTATATATTAATAAATATCGATTACTAAATCGTATGTTATTGTTTTATTGCCACGATTTCCAGACACATTGATACCAATCTACCCCATAATAATGTTGTAATAAGATCTGGTTCCATCTTTTAAATTTTCTCTCCAATACCTCGGCAAAGAAACCGAATTGTTAGAATAAAACTTTTCATCGATCCTATTGATATTTTTAAATGATATATGGGAGCAAATAAGCAGACGGGTTACGTGATGGTAAGCGACTACCTTTATCCATAGACAAGTGCGGGCGTCTTATTAGGACGACTTACACGTCATGTGACTGAACGTCGCCGTCGCCTACATGAGCGTTTTTACCTGAAGGTGGTACCTGCACTTTTGCGGGCAGGCGATAGGAGGGATCCGAATGTGTTAATTAATGAAAACTATTGTCGGATCCCACGTATTTAGGGCTTATGTATTGCATACTGTTTGGTTTTAGCAGGTTTGATTCCCACATCGCCCCATCGTTAACCCTGACGGGGTAACAGCCTAAAGGGGTTACCACACGTATAAAATATAAAGGATTCTTTAACAATCTACTTTCCATATGTGAAAGAATACAAAATCATTAATATTAATCAATGATTTTGAATCAAATGATGAGTTTTTTCTGCAGGAGATTGACGAAGAAAACTAAAGAAATATAAAGATTCAATATTTACCCCCATAATTGGTAATTCAGCGCCACCAATACTTATCATCAAGACAGAATATGTTTTCCGATCACGAGATATTATATCCCTTGTGGACAATAAATAAAAAGGTTGCCATGTTCGAATGTTATATATTTGTTACGTTAACAATAAACAATTAAAATAATTTATGTACTTTGTACATTTTAGTGACTTAGCCACATGAATATTAAACGCATATTAAATAAAATAACCTGTCTGTTTTACGTAGAAAAATACATTTAAAGTCAAAATACGTGACTGCAAGTTTATTACACATTTAAAATATACACACTTACGCAAATATATTTTATATTTTATTTTATTTGAATATATAAAAAATAAGATATAAATCATTTTTAGACTTAGATTTGTTTATACAAATCATTACATTACCAGATAACTTTTTCATAAAAAATATACTGCTAGCGCCATCTAGTTGCGACCCAGTACAATACAGACAGCAGTTTTTTCATTTTGCAACCTACAACTAACTTAAAATACAAATGATGTTCCAATATAATTTTTTTCATAAATTATTACAGATTTATAACTTTCATCAGTCTTGTAAAGTATAACAAAATATCATTTAATTTGAAGCATTGTGTCTTTGTAATCTACTAAGTCGAATATGTCTTTTCTTTTCTATCTTTTAAGTTAATTATTGAATTTTATATTAATAATGGCAATATGATCAGTCGCATCTATGATATTTATATACATTAGAGTTTGTAATAAATTATAGTAGGCCGTTTACACGCATGGCGAGCCTCGACAAGTGTCCACAATCACAAGCGTCTAAACGGGTTGTTTAGCTCGCCTCGCGTAGGCTCGTCGTCGATCAGTACTAGTGTCGGTTTTTGAACACAGATCAAAGGAAGCTCGCGGCTCGCGTTGGCGCGTGCTTGTTCCCTACTGCTTAATTCGATATTACAAATATTGTAGTAGAGAGTAGAGCAGTCGGAATTCAACATACGGTCTCAATGCTCTATTGATTTACCACGACTGCGATGTTTGCCTGTCCGGAACACAATAGCACACTCGCAAGCGTGTAAATGGCATCCAAGCGTTACTCTCGGACACGGAGCTTATGGACGTTTGCCAAGCCTCGGCGCGCATGTAAACTAGGCATTATGAGTAGCACCGTATACCTAAAACCACAATCACAGTAAATGCAAATATAAACATAATCCACATACACTCGCTCATATCTTGCAAACAGTAAAACAGTATAAAATATAAAACTTAACTGTATTTACAAATATTCAAGCCAATGCTTGAATGCATAGATACTAGGGATAGTCCATTAATCACGTGAGGCTCGAAAGGGGAGGGAGGGGTTTGAAAAAAAAGATCACGAATTATCATAAGGAGGGGAGGGGGGGGGGGTTAAAGAGTTGCCAAGGGGACCCCTTAATACAAACCTTCATTTATGATTACGTATAGATACAGGTAACTAACCCGCCTGATTTTCAGTATTCTTATGTATTTCGTACTGTCAAAATAGAAAAAATACGAGTGACTCACTCCACTTGCTTTAATTGAATTATTATATATCTAACTAATGATACTAATTTACGTATTGCATACGTCAATAATACGGTAACACTTGGGGCCATCCATAAATTACGTCACTATTCCCCATCCTTGTCACAGCTGGTTACATTTCTGAAACTTCCCCCCTGCCTGGTATGGCCTCACACGTTTAATAAAATCTAAACAAAAAACGATAAATTATGTAACTGTTAATAATTCAATTAAATACATAGATATATTGAATTTGGAAATGTATGAGAATATATATGAGAGATTCGAATACCTACAAACGAATAAACAAAGCTATGGTTATTCAACATTGATGGTGGTAGATCTATGGAAATTACTGTGCACATTATTCGTCGAATTGGAATCGGGCAACAGATCTTCAGAGCTGCCATACTTCTCTAGAAGTTCTTTTGCAACCTGCAAGAAACAAATATTTACATCCATTATTAACGTTTTGGATACAATTAGAACAGGGATTCCCAAAATATTTTGGACAAGAGACCCCTTTTCTAAAATGAACTGATAGATAGATTAGTTCTACAGGTTTCAAATTGGGGCGACCATAAATGTGTCACTAAACCGACTAAAATAAAACCCAAAACAGTAGTTCTAGGTCAATTCAAATAATACAATTTTATTTCAAAATTCAGTTTCAATCTACTTTCGATCACAAAAATGTTATAAGGTATTTTCCAAGTAAATTGTTAAACATCACAACATAATTGTTAAACAAAATGTGATTATATCGTATTGTGATCGGTCTTCTGCTAGACTTAGTAATACTTTACTATTTTACACCGAGAATATCTTTTATGACATTTTCGCTATTGACAGTAGACCGTAATTTTGAACGAATTTTTAGTACGAGAATAAAATTAACCTTCACTTCTTTCTTTTTTAATACATTCGTTCGTCTGCAAGCAGATAAAATTATTTCAAAGATTGCTTTTATATTTATTAGATTAATAACATTTAGAAATAGAATGCTTACCAAATATTTCTCAGAGATCTTCACTTCCTCTAGCAGATTCTTTTTTTCTTCTCTCATCATGTACAGCTTATACTGGCTTTTTTTTAAGGCTATAGTGTAGGTTCGTGATATAATTACTATTATGAGTATAGCTCTGCAATAAAAGAGGTTTTTATATTATTATTAGCTATTTATATATTGTTGCGCCATAGGATTGAGTGGTTCTTGTGTTGTGTCTGGAGGTCAGCGCCATCTAATATCAAGTGAAGTACAACTATAAAAGCAGAGCGTGTTACCCGTAAGGGACTAGTTCGTTTTACTACACAGCGAATTAACATCGAAACGTATTTCTAGTACGACTAACAAGTTATATAGTGATTTCTTGTTCGTAATAGTGAATGTTTTTAAATTTAGTGCAATAAAAGTAATTAGCTGACTACTTTTTTTTATTATAAACCCCGCTCGTAACAATATTAAGATGTGAAGAAATAGTGACAGATTAAGAATACGGAGTGTCACCATCCCTATTCATCTCGTGGTTGTCGTAAGAGCGAACTAAGGGAGCAAACTACGCAGGACAACAGCACTGCAAAAAGAAGGAAAACTTGAAATAAACCATATACCAACCCGTCTGGCCTCCGCAGGTAGTATCGTAGTGGACCAAAGCCTCATTTCAAAGGAGAAGCCAGCGGTGGACTGGAAGGCTGATGATAAATGGTTATTCGTAGAAGAGCAGGATATAAATTGAGTAAAAAACATTTTATAAACTTTAGGGTTCCAGTATATATTTTGAACTCTTATGTCACAAAAGTCTATTAAATGACGGTACCAGTTGTTTTGGTCTTTGAAAAGACGTTCAAAACGGTTGAAATTCGACCGCCAGGCGATCTCTACTTTCTAATAGTTCTAAATCGTAATCCTTCTCATATTATTAAAGGCTGTTCGCGTTAAGAAAATAGTGACAGTAAACATTATAGACATTGAATTACCATATATAAAAATTGAATAGTAAATATGATGAGTCACGTTCAATTTTAGAGGTTGTATATATTTAATTAGTGTTTATACTTACATAAATGGGTATATGAGTATCACAATATCTGCCACAAAAGAACAGAGATTTAGTATGATGAGTAGCACAAATACTACAACGGCAGTGATGATTGCACCCCGTTTAACATAATCTCGATTACGCAGATTAAATTGTCTATCTTTTTCCTTTTTTCTTATGCCTTTTTCGAGGATTTCTAGAAGTTCTGCTTTACTTTTGTAACGCTGTAATAAAGAAAAGGTTTTATAAAATAAAAAAATAATTTAATTCGGTGATAACAATTAAGATTCGTCAAAACTAGTAGAAAGTATTTTTTTAAATTTTACTTGTAGATAAGCGGCAACTCCAACAAGGTCCTTGAAATGATAGCCGACCGAATGGACTGTCCATATATGACTTGATGCTGTCAGCTATATGCATTTTATTGTAATTATAAGGTACATAATTACAATGACAAGCATATAGCTGACTACCATAAGCTAAGTCGGAACAGGTTTTTCCAGCTTAACTAAACTAACTAACTAAACATGAGTTGAGTTTTGATGACGGACAAAAATCTTCAATAAATTACATGACTGTCTCCAAAACTTACAGTTCTGTTCTTTTTTTTCTTTTCTTATTTAAGACAACTCCCGCACTAGGAATAAATCATGTGTCGCGGGGGCTTTTACAAACATACATGAAAGGGACACAAAGTACACCCAGCCTCAGAACAACAATTGTCCCATGTGGGGTTTGAACCCACAACACTCGGCGTAATAGGAAGCGGCGTGGCGGTCGCTTAAACCACTACGCCATCCGTGCAATTGACTTGATTAAGGAAAGATCAGACTACTTATTATTAAATGCTTTTATAATATGAATGACAGATTACTGTAATTTTCAATTTCTTGCTGTTGAAATGTACTAATCTATAGTTCAATGTAAGAATATAATATTAATGATATTGACAATAATAACAACTACATACATAATGTTTTTCATATATCGTTCTCATCTATTAATTAATTATAATAATTCAAGGTTTGACATTGAATTAATTAATTAATTAATTATTATTATTTAATAAATAAATATTATTTAATATTAAATAAATAATTTATTTGTTTTATTATAATTTTATGAAGGACCTTGTTTTAATTTAAAATCTTTGTTATCTAATTTTGACTGCCTTGGTGGTGCAGTGGTAGTATATGCATCTGCAGTGCGGAGAGGGACTTCCTTTCTAGGGTATACCTGGTTCCCCGGCTATTAGTACCCGAGACGGCGTGCGATTTTAGTCGGTTCGAGTCCGACGTGCCACCAACAGGTGGTATCCGAGGGGATTTCCGCACGGAAAAAAAGAAAAAAGGGTTCAATTCCCGGGTCGGACCAACTGTTTGTATGATCTTCAAATATATGATAAATAGGTGTTTTCTATGTTTAATATTGTATGCATTAACAAAAAAAAAACTACGTAAGTATTCTATCAGTTAATCTGGCTTTCATAGTACAAGATATGCTTAGTTTGAAACTAGATGGCGATTTGTATCAGATATCTGAAAAATATTATTATTATTTTATTAATCTATTTGTTTCTTTATTCAATGGAAGACTTACAGCTAAATCAACAGATTAACAGTAAAATAGTATTAGAAAGCTATACAGGTCTTCGCTTTTATAAATTTTACTAAAAATGAAGTCAGCTATATAAATAGATACTACGCTTATTATTTTATATTTGAAGAAGTGACATTTTTTAAAGGTAATCAGGTATTTGAAGAATATTCACACAATGCCATCTAGTCCCAAACTAAGCAGAGCTTGTACTATGGCTACTAGACAACTGATATAAATGTATATATAGTTTTTTTTGAAAATACATACTTATTATACATAGAAATAAAGACCAAATCAAACATTAAATGTTCATGAACACAAATGTTTGACTTGAGCGAGAATTGGTGTGCGTATGTGTGTATTTGTAATTACATATACACACACTGCACCAGACATCTCAAGCATCTCCCTGCAGCAGGTATACTAATTTAAAATGGATCAAGATCATGTTGTTTGCATAACTTGTTGAAGGTTCTACTCGCTCATACATAAAATTACATGTTTCAATGCAAATCTTGATTTTGAGTGTAAGCACTTGAAACATGTAATTTTATAACACCAAATAAATATTTTAACACTTTTAATGACTTTTTGTGATCGAGAGTAGATCGAAACCGAATTTTTTACCAATTTTTATTACGAGAATTGACCCTCTGATCTCCGCCTCAATAACTGTACTCTCGATTGTCGGCACTTTATGGAAGTTGTTGATATAAATTATGAAATCAAACCCATACATTATAAATACTGCCATAAGGCGAAACCGGTCAAGACAAATTAAATTTAATAGTGGAATATAAGTACAAATGAATTTGATATCATAATTTAAAAATAATTTATAGTAAATTACATTCATACAAACTTTACAATGAATATGGTTGTATTAACATTGTGGTTGTCACAAATTCACAAATAAAGATAACAAAAGTACCATCTTACTGATATAATTATTACTCCTAAATAAAGTTTTTATTTTTTATTTAAAGATAATCAATTATACTTACACGAAGTCTGGATATAAAAGCACCCATTTTTGGATGAAATGTACAAAAATTCTTAAACAAAAACCACTTTAACACTCAAATTAATATTCTTCTATAGCTGTTGCAATTTATTATCAAGTTTGGAGTAACACAGGTACTGTTATTGTTTTATCTTTGGGCACTGTGATGTAGGGATGCTTAAATTGAATTCGATCTTTCAGAAAATCGAATCAAAGCATTACGATCAAGCGATTTTTTTATCAATTCAACGGGATGCGATCCTAGCCTGGATTGAATTGTATGAATCTAAGATCGTAATGAAAAAATCTTATCAACTAAAACCTAAACATCAACTGAATCCAACCATACTAACTACAACAAAGTTTTAGTTTCGAGTTACATCAATCAAATATCAAAAGCGGTAATGGGTGAAATATGAAGGTAGGTGATACCATAAATTATTGAAGTATATTAACATATTAATTTTATTTCTGTTATTATTGGGTATGTTAGCAGTATTAGCGTTCTCTGATTTGGTTGTTTTCTTTCTTTGCATTACTGTGATACGAAGCGTGTGAGCGTAAGCAATAAGTTTAAAATACTTCATAATATGGCCCCTCCAATAAAATCAAACGTAGTAGCAATGAAATTGCCATCATAAAAGGATTTATTAATGTTTTGTCCCTTATCGAAAACGTTACTAAAGAGATCTCGGGTCAAGATTTTGTCACAAGTAGTATTATCATTCCAATTATATTTTGTATGACCAAATCGATCGAATCTGCTAATACTGCATCTACTTCCGATGTTTCCGACATTATTTCAGAATTTTAAAGCAAAAATATTAGGCGAAATTGATAAACGCTTCAAATACATTTTAGATATAGTAGTTTTAGAAGCTCCGTGGTCCGTGTGGTGACGGATTAAGAATACAGAGTGTCACCACCCCTATTCATCCCGTGGGTGTCTTAAGAGCCGACTAAGGGAAAAACTACGCAGAACAACAGCACTTCAGAGAGAAGCAAAACTTGACACAAACCCTATACCAACCCGTCTGGCCAGCGTGGTATAGTAGGCCAAAACCTCCTTTCTCAGGAGAGGCTTATGTCCAGCAGTGGACTATTAAAGGCTGTTGATGATGACTGACGCTCAGTCATGGGAAAAATCATTAAATGACATCAGCGATGGACTTAAATCATTGGAAGGCGATACAGATTCATCAACGACGCAGGATGTGATTTTCAGTTTGCTCAACGAAGATGAAAATATTTTCATATTTCATAGCCACTTAATTGCCCAATCTAATAAAAATATTTCAAATTTAATGACATTTTAAAACAGTTCCTGAGAGAACCATTGCTTGCACCAGGAATGCTATCTGGCCCGGATTTAAGCTGTTTGGCATTACAGTATCTGACATTGAATCGTCCTTCCCCTTAAAACTTAAATTTTCTCTAGCTGGAAATACTTTGACACATAATCGTAATAGTCTAGATCCAGTGTGTCTATGTAAATTATAATCTTTGAAAAGTCTTTATGTAGATAGTTGGAATTTGAAATCAGTATTGTAAACAATGTTTTCGAAAATAGAAATTTAGAGAGACAATGGACAACATAATACAGCTTTATGTCAAAATGTGTGTTTTTGAGTATTTAAGGGATTTGAACTCGCAGCCTTCAACTTCTGTGGTACACTTTGTATTAGTTATAATACATTCAGTTATAATAAACAATTTTGCATGCATACTGTATTTTTATAAAAATACTATACGATCTTCCAAAATCGAATAAAATCATCGACCGATCAATTCAAATAAAAAAATCGGGCATCCTTACTGTGGTGACAGTTTGATGACTTTTGTTTTGTTACATGTGTTCGATGGTCAGGGCTACCATTCCGTTAAATAGTTTTTCTACCTAATGCTACTAATGTTAAATCTATTAAAGTACTGTAACTTAATATTATTTAATTACACTCTTTCTTTTAGATAGTAAGTAGTTTTCGTTGCCAAAAACACCAGATATGACACCAACTTAATACTAACTAATTCCTGTGGAGCTCTTGCTGTGCTGACCCTTACTGGAAAATAATATCAATACTTGTGTTGTATCTATTAGCTTGTCTTGTACCCAACCTTCGTGTTTTATGACTAATGCACAAAATGTAGCCACCAAGACTGTACCTTACACTGAGATGTTTTCTACTAGAGTATTATCGTAGCTTACTCGCGGATATACTCGCACACTGCAGTGCAACTTTTCTAAAACAATCTGTGGTACATGTTATTGTCTGAGGTATTCTGGAAACTATACGACCTTCAAGAAAAGAGTTTACTCCTTCCTAAAGGCCGGCAACGCACTCGTGACTCCTGAGTTACAGGCGTTCCTGAGCGGCATTGGTCACTTTTCATCAGGTGATCCGTCTCCTCGTTTGCTCCATCTTCAATAAAAAATTTGTAGCGGTTACCGATGAACAAAGTCATCATCATCATCAACAGCCTATACTAGTCCACTGCTGGATATAGGCCTCTCCTTAGAAAGGAGGTTTTGGCCTACTATAACAACAAAAAACAAACAACAAAACAAGGAACAAAGTGCAAAATACATTTTCAAACAAAATAAATAGCGAAGTATCATGCAAATCTACGACTGTTCAAAATCTACCGCTTTGGTAGTTACTTTAGTATTTGGTCCACACGGATGTTTATCGCCACAAATATTAAAAACTGGTTGTTTGTGTCTCAGGGAAATCCCGTAAAGTAAAAGTGATGTAAGCGCATTAACATTATTTAGTGCAATGGATATAAAAGAAGATCAAACACAATCTCATAACTTCCTACACATCAATTGGTTCAGCTACTACTAAAATGCGTAATTTATATCATACCTACAATGATATATATTATAATATGTCATTGCATACCTATACCTATACCTGCATATTTTGTTTTTATGGTATGAGGGGGCAATCGAGCAGACAGGTCAGTGGGGGGAGTGTTTGGGTCTGCGGTAACCTAAAAAAAAACATTGTCACTCCTAGAGTGCCGACAGAATTGCAATTTTTTTTTGTTATAACAGGAAATTCACACAATATTCGGATACTAAAATCAACATATGTTTTATTAATGTGTTTTTAAGTACAACAATTTAATGCATTACAGATTAATACAAATAGTTAAATAGTCCTTAACCGTGTAAAACTAAATTAATACTATAAGTCGAACCGTCACCTTTTCAAGTGCATCACATTGCTCCTAAGAGTTTGTCTAGTTTCTTCATTTCGCACTTGAATGTCCCTTTTGTAGGCCTTTTACTGTGAAGGGATTAGGTGCAAATGTTGTAATTGGTTTATTGTCTTTAGCAACCTACTTTAAATATACCTTGTCTACTACCGTAGGTATACCGTAAAAATGACTATTGATGACTTTGAAATGATGTCGTATGTACGATTGTATGACATCATTATGACATAGTACTAACTTAAAATTTGGCTTTTATATGACATCATAACTGTAACGTAAATGTTACGTAAATATTGTGTTCTATCCCTATCATATGCGTGACGTTAGTTACTTTTTTTCGACCGTTTTAATTTCGGAATCGTAACAAACTTTTGGATTTATTCTTTTTTATTAGAATGGAATGGAGATTTTTACAGCCTAAGCCTAAGAATCAAATCCAAAAGATACCTTTAATAACTGGTGAAACATTCTCTTTATACATAATATAATACATTTATGTTCTTATTGAAATATTATTAGAAGAACATATTGTAGTCCCGTGATAATAAAATGAAAATGTTTAGTCATAAGTATCTAATCTAAAAAGCATGCAGCTTTAAATATGGTTCCCGTTCGTAAATTATTGTCACTGAAAGTGTCCTGGTGAGCAACAATAACAATTTGGTGATCAACGTCTTGCAAATATAAGGAAAGAGTATCCTAAGCTTGATAGTCTCCCGGCATGTTTTTATTCTAAAACGAATAAAAATTTTGGAATTTTTCCTTAATGGAAACATAATTAACTGTGAAATATCTGAATTAGCTTCACTTCTTCGTCCCAGTTGTTATTGTAGTTACCGATTTTCACTTTCTGTATTTCTACTTCATATATATTTATTTCAGAAAATTTTCAATGTCAATTTTTTAATTTTCAATGTCCATTTCCGAGTGTTTCTTTAAAAGATATTTCCGTGGTCTCAAGTATTCCATAATATCCGCTTTAACCTGCTGTTATAGCCGGTCTGTGTAAAAAGAAAAGCGCCGGACCGGACCCTTATTCTACAAATAGCGCTAAATTCGAAACATAATGTTAGTGTCTCTCCGTATTGCGCAATGGTTTAACGCAGTTTGAGTGTTTTCTATTTAACTATTTATATGATAAATAAATGGGTAATATGCTTAAACGAACTTTACCTCCCAAGTACTAGGACAGCATAGATAACACTAGCAATTTTATCAATAATGCGTCATTATTTCCTTTTTTATAGTAATCTTATAGTATCAAGATATCTTTTGATAATTATAATAGTATCTTTATAGCGAAATCAGTGCTTGTTTGAACACACAAAATGGCTGACTTAAAATGTTTGGCGTTTGTTTCATTGTTGTATTTATTTAATTTAGTTAAAAGTTCTAGTTTGTGCACTGAGGAATTTTGTAGTGTAAGTTGTTTATTGTTAAGATGTTTAGTAAATTAGTAAGATAAATGTTAGAGGGCTCGTAAATGTTACATGAAAAATCTCTCGACGGGGTGCCCCCTTTATAAAATTATTATAAACAACCATGTATAGAAACAAAATTTTATAAATAAAAATCGACTTAGTATTTTCTGATTTTATTAACCAAATACAAACAAAAACATTTACTTCATTTATCCTAATAATATTGGTACATGAAAGTTTTAAAAACTAATCGAGATATCGCTGCTGTAATAAAATGAGCAAATCCGTGTTTTTCATTAGACACTTTGTTGTTAATCAGCTCTATCTCATATCGGTAATATCCATCGATTTATTGGCGTAAGTATAATAAATTGCACAATATTAGAACAATTTTTTTCTTAGCAAAGAGGTTTTGGCTTATTATACCACGCTGACCCGATGAATTGGCCTAGGGTTTGTTTTCCTCCTCTTTGGTGTCCTTTACCATGTGGCCATACGGCAGTAGCGGCCTTAGCCATTGCGAGGCCCTGGGCGGGTAGATAATTGCCTGGCTCCGGGCGGGAGATCTTTGCGAGGCCTCGGGCGGGTGGATTATTGCAGGACCTTTGTCTTTATGGAATTCCTTTTCATGATGATACTTGAAACAAATATTGCAACGCAACACATACTGCTGCTCGAATACAAAAGTATCTCTAAGCCGACGACAGTCGACACTGGAAACCTGTCAAAATTACAAGCGAAATAAAACAAGGGAAATCCTTGTTGTTGCGCGAGTGCGCGAGGCCCCGGGTGGTAGCCCTGCTCGCCACCCCCAATGGCACCCCTGCCAGACGGTTTGGTAAGGGTTTGTGTCAAATTTGCCTTCTCTTTGTAGTGCTGTTATCTTGCGTAGTTGTCTCCCGTAGTCGGCTCTTGCGACCCCACGAGATGTATAGGGGTGGTGAGACTCCGTATTTTTAATTCGTCACCATACGGACAGACGAAACTTTCGTTAATGGTATTTATATTAACTAAGGAATTATTTTGGATTAGATAAATTCGTCTCAATTATTAGGAAAATTAATATTAATTAATTAATTAATGACTCTGAAATGCGTTTTATAAGGGTTTAAAGTATTCAATTACCGATTTGACGTGAAAAATTATACTCGTTTTATTCTAAGATGTAACATATTTATTTAATCAAAATATTTATCCCTATTATATATAAATTTCTGCCATTTAAACGGAAGTTCATTTATGCCTTTACGATAGGACAAACTGTGTGAAAGCATTTTGTACTGCCTTTGATCAGGCCAAGATATTTCATATGGGCCTGAACCGGTACGAGGACCGAGTTGACCACGATTGGGGCACCGGGGGGCGGGGCGGGGGGGGTGGACCACGACGGGGCCCATGGAATAACAGGGCTTCCGTCTTATCGAGGGCCACCCGTAAGCCCAGCGCCTCAATGCAGCCGACCACCACAGAGACTCCTCTGGGGCCCTTGAAAGTTCGGTCCCCGGGCCGTGACCAAAGTGTCATCGGCGTAACAACTTACACCCAGCCCAGGAGGAAAATCAATTCGAAGGGCCCAGTCGTACCGTACGTTCCACAGGAGAGGTCCAAGTACAGACCCCCTTTTTCTTTTTTCCGTGCGGAAATCCCCTCGTATACCACCTGTCGGTAGCATGTCGGACACGAACCGACTAAAACCGCACGCCGTCGCGGGTACCAATAGCCGGGGAACCAGGTATACCCTACAAAGGAAGTCCCTGGTGCCCCGACATAAGTACAGACCCCTGTGGAACACCGGACGACATGGGCCGACACCTCAGATTACCATCTCGGTCCTCGTACACGACGGTACGCTCCTCTAAATAGTCTGCCACTAGCCGCCTCAGGTACTTTGGCATCCCATGATAATGGAGTGCTTCCCTGATGCAGCTGAATGGCATTCAATAGTCTGCCATTCAGCTGTCCAAGGACACCGCCAACAGCACGCCGCCACAGCTTACCGCATCTTCGGTCACGGCCCTCAGGCGCAGCACAGCGCTGACCGCCGAACGCCCCGCTCGAAAACCGAATTGGGAGTCCGACAGATCGGGGCCCCTCGTAGAGGTACCCTCTCAAACAATTTACCCGTATCGTCCAGCAACACGATAGGCCTGTAGGCGACCGCGACCGAATCGGCAGGCCGTCCCGGCTTCCTTAACAGGACCAGCTTCCCGAAAATCGAATGTTGCACATTTTTCAAAAGAAGAACCACATAGGTATCATGTGAAAAAAGTTTGACACAAAAATCTTACACTAACTTTTGACAGAACAAAGTCTGTCGGAGCTGCTAGTCATAAATATTTATGATGTGTTTGTACTACTTAATAAATAAGTATACATGTATTCACAGGCATTCATATCCGAGACAGGCTGCGCAACTCCAGCTGCCCATTGTAACATCAATAATGCCACGCATTTTGGCGTTAGAATGCCATCACCTACCGTTTGCAACTGCTGCGAATTCTGCCTACCCCTTTTTGGTAAGATACTTTGTTATTACGACGGAGTATTGATTTTATTAAGGTTAATTATCATGTATCGATGCTTCTCGAACAACCACGCCCAGAGTTACTTTGAACGGCATTACAAGGGAGTGAAACAAAAATGCTTATTATTAGGTAGTAACTTTTCTGTTCATGAATCATAGTCATGTTGTAATCATAACACGGCAATGTATTTATGCGGGAAGGTAGCATTATCTAATGATATTGAACAGTAATATTAAACCTATATTCGAAAGTTGAAAAAAAAACTATCATCTTGTTAGGAAAAAGTCTAGTTCTTTATGTACTAATTTAAGAAATATGGTTTCGGTAAACGATGCAACCCGGAGCCTTTTTATTTTTACTAACTATGTTACTCATGCAATTGGGAAACAAATCACACCAATAACACGAGAGGCGCTACTAGCTTATCAAAATTCAACAATTTTAGCCAATCCTGATGCATCAGATTTTTTTGAGATCAAATTAGGTCACATAAGACAGATAATGCAAGCAAAGATTGCATATTCAACGATCTTTAATAAACGACTCTTAATACGAGCATTTTAGTTCATCATCATTATTATAATCAACAGCCTTTAATAGTCCACTGCTGGACATAGGCCTTAGAAAGGAGATCTTGGTCTACTATACCACACTGGTCAGACGATTTGGTAAGGTTTTGTATCAAGTTTTCCTTCTCTTTGCAGTGTTGTTACGCTACGTAGTTTGCTGCCTTAGTCGGCTCTTACGACACCCACGGGATAAATAGGAGTGATTAAATGAGTGCTAATCAGATCATTTTTTAATGTATTCTTCTTTTTATTTGTGTTTGGAATTTTAGCTGAAGGACAGACCTGCACTTTGGGTGGTCCAGGTATGGGCACCGCGATAGGGCGCTGCGGAGACGGCCTCACTTGTGCTTTAAATACTACTGATGGCGTGACGCGGTGTGTTAGAAGTAAGTACGGGTTGTAAGCAAGACTGGCTGTGGATGTATATTTACGTGGGTTTAATATATATACTACTATAATACGTGGGGTATTTAAAGGGCGTTCCCGTAGGTGCAGGGTGTAATAACAAGAAAGTAAAACAATCTTTTCAAAACAACGAATAGGCATTTTAAAAATTGATTTTAGCACTAAAAATGCAACCGACGACATTTGAATAAAAATAAAAATGAAATTATATTTAATGATGACTTTATGTGAAAAGGATGTGATAAAATTCCAGCAAAATTAGAGATAATATTCAGAAAGGATCAATTGTAGGTGGTTATTTTTATGACCATAATGGATATATCTTTTGTAGGAAACGCATAATTCGTTTAGTAGTTGCGCAAAATGGGAACGCAAATACATAGATGTAATCAACGGCTGCAGTGACAAAGTAGATATTTATAGCGATAACCTTGGGAATTTTTACATTTATTGTCAACTTTTATAATAAGATTGGTTAATTTATAAATTGAATGTGTTGATGAAATTATATTGAATTGATTTTATTTATTCATTGTACAAAGCTTCTAATTTGTAATTGTAAATATTAAAAAAAATGTTATAATAATTATTTCTCTAACATAAGATTTATTCCATTTTTAAACTGTAAACGTATAATATTCTAAGCATGCGGTGTTAACCTTTAATGAATGATTACACTTGTGTTAGCAATAAGTTTGTAAATAAATTGTAAGGTGTAAACCATTGTTGGTTAGCCATAAATAAATAGATACGCTTAAGGCAAACACAAAACCCTTCCTTTCGGCCAGTTGGATAAAAATGGAATAATAGAGGCCCTCATCTTTATCAATTTTCAGTGAGTTCGCCCTGCCATACATTACAAGAGCAATACGTCCAACTTGAAGCTGAGGGGACACTAGGAATGCTGGTAATAAGACCAATGTGTGATGGAAGGGGGAAACACGGACCTGTGCAGTGCGTAAACACACAAACGTATGTACATAATAATACTATATACTAAGTACACAATATGACCATTAGAAAACTCTTATTTTGTTGTGTTGGAACCCCACGGTTCCCACACAACAACGGGTTCCGGTTTGATAAACCGTTGTAACAGAATTCAACCAAAGCCCTTTGCACAGCAATGTTTTGGCTGATTTTGCAGTGGTATTCCACGGTATCGTAGGCAAATGAGCAGACGAGACATCAGATGGGTAGGACTACCGCCGTCTATAGCCACAAGAGTGCTCCGCCCTTCAGAGAATCAAGGGGTGGGGCGGGGGACATTGGGCTCCGGTAATTTCACTCACTCGGTGAAAAGCTATGAAAGAACTGCTTAACAAACGGTTTTCTGTGAAGCTGTGGTATAACGCCGGTCGAGCCTGGCCCATATACGCCGAACATGTATTGTGACGACCCCAAATAAAATTGAGCTTGAAAGGGACAGGAAAACGATGACTACTTTGAAACTAATGGTAAGCAAGCCAATGGTTAAGAAGTGAGGGTTTTATATTTATCTTTTTTTTTTATTCTAGATGTTTCTGTCAGTCAGAGGAAGGCGAAAGAATATTTGGTGAAGCGTCATACCTGGGCCCAAGTACTTTGAGGAATATGCAATGTGGTTAGTATATATTATGTACATTAATTTATTTACGAAAACTTCGCAAACAGAGGAATATGAAATTAGAAATACTTAAAGACTTCAAAAGAGTTATGTTGACCTGCGAGTACACGGAAGATCTATACAGTGAAAGTTCAAGTTACATTGGACAAATAGTTAAAACATCTTAATGAATCATGGTTTAAATTCCACCACGAGGCTGTCTCTAATATCTATATTAATAAAATTGATCTAATTTCACGAAATTTTAGAATTTTGGCAGGAATTAAAAGCCGTCGTATAAAAGTTACATAATAGCCGGTGTCGAAAAATTTTTAAGCTTTTTAACACACTTTTACTCGTATTAGCTTGGTAAAAGTAGGAAATAATTTTCTATAAGTTCAAAAAGAAAAATCAGTTTATCGATATTTTATAATATAATCAATTTACTTTTACCAATGTCTGTCGATAAAATATTTTTAGAAAATTTAGATCTAGCACCCATTTTTCTTTTTGAACTTATAGAAAATTATTTATAACAGGAAGACAAACAAGCAGACAGGTCATCTGATAGTAAGTGAGTGAGTACGTGATAAGACAGTAAGACTCATCATCGTCATCATCATCAACAGCCTTTTGTTTTTTTTAATTTTGTTTATAAAAGACAACTCCCACATTAGGAATATATCCTCTGTCGCGGGGGACTTTACAAACACACATTATGAAACGGACACAAAGAACACCCAGACTCAAAACAACAATTTGTAGACCACACATGTGGGTATGGGAAGCACAACACTCAGTGTATTAGTACGCGTCGAGGTGACCGCTTAAACCACTACGCAATCCGTGCAGTCGATCGTGCAGACTTTAATAGTCCACTGCTGGACATAGACCTCTCCTTAGAAAAAAGGTTTTGGCCTGCTACCTCACTCACTCGGTGAAAAGCAACGAAATATTAATAAAATAATAATAATATTGTTCCACATTCACACAACGCCATCTAGTCCCAAATTAAGCAGAGCTTGTACTATGGGTACTAGACAACTGATGTAAACACATTTTTTTGTAAATACATACATATTATACAAAGAAACACTAAGACCAAATCAAACATTAAATAATCATGCATAAAAATGTTTGACTTGAGCGGGAATCGAACCCGCGACCTTTGAAAGAGCAGTCTGTTACACAAATCACTACGCCATCCGGTCGTCAAATATATAATTATATATATTATAAATTATTTAACACTGTTTTCTGTGAGGCTGAGGTATCACTCCAATCGAGCTGGCCGCTTTGTGTCAAAGCATGGCTCTCCCACGGCTAATTGTAAACATACCAGTTTTTGCACTCTTGACTGGATGACTACACGGATGGTGTAGTGGTATGGTCGGTCACCTCGTCGCTTCCTACTGCGCCGAGTGTTATGGGTATGATCCGCCGACACTTTGTCTGATCGACCAATTGTTGTTCTGAGTCTTGGTGTTCTTTGTGGTGTTCGTTGTGTACTAAAATTATTACTAATAAAAATTAATTAATAATACCTTTTTTTTTATTTCAGCCTGCTCACGTTTGCACGAAAATATCGAGAAGAATATATCTCCTGGAATGACGGCACCAGTCGTAGGTCCTCGATGCACCATCGATGGAAACTTCAACCCCGTGCAGTGCCTTAACAGAACTTGCCATTGCGTTAACCCCGTCACTGGGATTATTATAACTGAAATCAAAAGTATAAACTTGGACACCCATCCTATCACTGAATTACCCTGTTGTAAGTAGGGATGTTATAGATATTAGATACAGATACAATAATAATATAATATTAACTAGCTGATCCGACACGACTTCATCTCTCAAAAGGAATAAATTTTTCATCTTTTTGCCAAACTTTTCATCAATGCTCGGCTCCTTTTGATCATAGCGTAATATTATATTGACTTTAGTCATCCTCGATAAATGGGCTATCCAGCACTAAAAGAATGTTTCAATTCGAATCAGTAGTTCCTGAGATTAGCACATTCAACCCAACAAACAAATAAACTGTTCAGCCTTGTAATATTAGTGTTACGGATATAACACAATATCCGATAGATTTTTTTATGGTACAGGGGCAAACGACCAGATTGACCTGACGGCAAGCGAATACTGCCGCTTATAAACACCTGAATCTCCGTACTTTTAGTGCACCCAAAAGAATTATATTTTGTCATGGATTTAGTCAATTCAAGTAAAGTCTAAATCTCTTAAGGACAGTAATTCAGAGGATATTTTTCCGATCTGTTGCAAGCGACTCCATTCATAATGTGTACCTACTTACTTTCAGATGACCCTCTCTTAGACAACTACTGGCAAAACAGTCGAGGTGATCCTCCCTTCAAATACACTACAACTTGTATTCAAAACAGAGATGAAAGGGTGAATGCTGTCTTGCAGAGTATAGAAGATGGATTTAACGTTGATTTCGGAGGAGGATTCACCAGATGCTATCCTGACGGCACCTACGGACGGTTGGGTCAAACAATGACAGGATCGTACGTTACACAATGATATTATTATGAGTTAGAAGGCTTAAATTTTCTGGAAATGACACATTCGAGCAGCAGGTTGATTTTGCTTTATGAATAGCAAAATCAAACTCAGACTATCTTTATTACTTAAAAATAAATTAAATTTATTAGAAATCGTCTTAGACTCTAAGTCAATCATTCAATAGAGCCATTTAGCTATCCCTCCTCCACTAATATAATAAATGCGAAAGAAACTCTTTCGGCCACTAAATTTTAATTCAATTAGGCGTGGAGATAATTCTTGAGAAAGGACATAGGCTACTTTTTACAGCGATAACATATACGCCGTCGGAGTCGCAGGAAAAAGCTAGTTAGAACCATTCCTTTCCTGCCATTGCGTTCTTTTCCAATCTACTTTTCCTTTCAATACCTAAATAGAGAGAGAGTCTCTCTGGTGGTCGGGCGCATTGAGGCGCTGAGCTTACGGGTGGCCTTAGATAACACGGAAGCCCTCATATTTCATGGGCCCCGTCGTGGTCCTCCCCCTGGCGTCACTATCGTTGTTAACTCGGTCCCCCGGTTCAGACCCAGATGAAGTATCTGGGCCTGATCCTCGTCGACGAGCACTTTCGACAGCTTGCTCCAAAGCTGGTCGGCGTTGATGCCCAATTTGGGTGGAGCCAGCGTCGCGTCAGGACGGCTGTACACGGGGGTTGTCAGTTGTCAGTTGCAGCGTCTATGACCGCCCAGAATAGAGCACGCCTCTGGCGTCCTCAGAGGATATTGGCGGTTAGAACCACACGCGGTTACAGGACCCTGTCGACAGATTCGGGGTGCGCGTTGCCGGAACCCCCCGTGGGATTTAGCGGCGGAAATGCTCGCCAAAGTATATCGGCGGACAGCTGAGTTCTGGGCGGATAGGTACGGCCTGAAGAGGTACGCTCGCTGAGCCACGAGGGGTAGGGGCTCCACGTGCTGGTTTTGCCACCGTGGAGGCGCTTCAGCTGGTCATCGTCGAGTGGGCAGGGCAGCAGCACGGGATCCTTTCCTTCCGGCTGACGCAGGTACGCTAGGAGGGAATTTAGTCTTGCCTGTCACCACTCCGATTGCAGTGAGGACTCGGCTCAGCACACGCTGGCAATTTGCCGGTCCTGGGCGTCGCAGCGTCGGGTCCTCGTTGCAGTCATTGAAAGGGATCTCTCGCTACCTGCCGTCATACGGCTGGGGCGGGCTGTTTCCGGACCCCTCCTATCTCGGGCGCGAGTGGCGCACCGTGTGATTTTAGTCCGTCCGATTCTCACACACCGCCCCGCCGCAAACCCCGGTGGGATGACGGCCCGAGGGGGTTGCCACACTTTAAAATAAAGGGTACGAAGGTTTTAATAAAAACTGTTCCCAGATCCCTCCTATTTTAGTCGCAGTATGGCACACCGTATGGTTTTAGACGGTTCGATACCGATACACCGCCTCATTGACAGCCTCATCGCAAATCCCGGTGAGGTGACGGTCCAACGGAGTTTCCACACGCACAAAAAACAGCTTTAACTTAGCTTCGTGTCAGATCCTGCTTGCTTAGAATACCGAATTCATAAGTTTAAATGTATTACTTGTTCTAGCATTATATGTCTTGATGATCGTGGTCGGAGGATCCGGAACTTCGAAGCAAAACCAGGGACCGAAGATTTTCATAATACTGATTGCAGTAAGTTTTCCAAAAAGGGTTTATAACAGCTATTCTTATAAGCTAATGCTATTAATAAATAATAAAGAGGCCAGGTGGAGTGATGATTTTCGTAAGATGGCTGGAGAGTTGTCTTTAAAAAAATATATAAGTAAAGCATTTGATCACTATATTTTATGTAAATTGGTAAAATAAACTAACACACTCATAAACTTTCACTAAGGATATTACAATTGGTATTATTGTTAATAATTATTTGCTCTCAATCGTTACACGATATAAACATGACAATACATTATAATGTATATATAGTACCAATCATCATCATCATCAACAGACCTTAACTGTCCACTGCTGGACATAGGCATCTCCTTAAAGAAGGTTTTGGCCTACTATACCAAACTGGCCAGACGGGTTGGTGTAGGGTTTGTTTCAAGTATTCCTTCTCTTTGCAGTGCTGTTACCCTGCGTAGTTTGCTCCCTTAGTCGGCTCTTACGACACCGACGGGATGAATAGGGGTGGTGACACTTCGTATTCTTAATCCATCACCACAATAACAAATTGATAGTCAATTATATTATTAGAAATAACTTTGACCGCTACGCTGTTTTAAATAAATATGAGTGTCATCATCAGTCTCTCATCCTATATCCTTTAAATACTCCTGACAACAAACCGTAATTCTACAAAAGATTAATACACACTCACATAAGTATTTACCTTGATTTTTTTATTTTAATTTTTATTGTGATTCCACTAAAACGGCCTCAGGTGCTCTACTCTGGGAGGACCCGGTCCATGTTATTTCAGGTCCTCCCATGTATCCCACTGGAAAACACTTTCCCCACATAAGTGTTTACCTATACGTAGTTAGAGTTAGACTGCACGGATGGAGTAGTGGTTTAAGCGGCCGTCTCGCCGTTTCCTACTGCTCTGGGTGTAGTGGGGGACAAGATGTCGTTCTGAGTCTGGGTGTTCATTGTGTCCGTTTCATGAATGCTTGTAAAGAAAGATAAAGATAGAGTCCACTATTAGGATAACTTACTATACCTATACATTGACACTAAAAACTATTATTCTTGTTTAGAATGTGCCATGACGTCGTACCTAATGGGAGCAGCACATGAAAAACCAGTTTGCTGTAAGAATGGCAACTTCAGAAGTATACAATGTCGTCGTGGTTTATGTTACTGCGTGGACTCAGACGGTAGACAAACAACAAAAGAAAACTCTGATGTTACTCGGCTATCTTGTTTTACTCCTGATTGGAGGGATTGTTAGTTTAATAATATGAATCATAACATAAATGTTCTCAGATAAATTTGTACTTCAATAAATATAATTAAAGTTTCATTTACAACAAGTATATTCAAATAATCCTTTTATTGTCCCTTTATCGTTTGATTATAGTTCACCATAATTTGCAATCTGGTTTCGCAATTTCATTTAGGGTAACTAGAATACTGTAACAGAAAAGCTTGGGAGTAAATACTTATATCCTAGAGTTTTTCTGATTTGAATCATTACTTAAATCGTGACTATATTTCTCTGTACAAAAAATTTATTTCAAAACTGATTTTCATGAATTCATTTACAAAAAGGCGAGGTCAATGGTCGTCATATCTAGCTATATCATTATACTTGTACAATACATGTCTAACATTTTTATGTATCATATACTACTTGTTAAATAGTGTACAAATAAAGAGTTTTCTTTCTATTTATCGATCTACACTGTATTTTGATTTAGATACATAAATTTTAAGTGTGACGTTGAAATTTAAAAATTAGGCAGGTTTTGTCTTTCAGTATAGCAGTAGAGTTATTTGTAATGTTTTGATTAATTTAATTCAATTGGTTTGTCAATTATTTTGTAAACAGGTAATATATTTTTTACTCTGGTTATATTGCTAACACCCTGTTACACGAAAGAGGAAGAAAATCTCTTTGCGCAAAACAATTAAAAATACCTCATGTAGGAATGAAATGTGCTGGACTTCAGTAGTACTCAATCATCAACAAGTACTTCATCAATATAATTTAAAGAATCTAAGACCTTAGTCTAAATTAAATAGAACTATAATAGCTTATTAAATTAATAAACTTTCTACAATATTAAAACGTCTTATTACTTTTATTTCAAACTCCAATTTCTCAATGTTTAAATGATTGAAATATAGGATTGAGCAGTTTTGTTGACAGCAGGTGACGTTGTTGTCAGTACTGAATATTTTTTTATCTGTGGATCGTTATTGAAAGTAAATGTTTTTTCATAATTATTTGTTCAGAATCTCTACTAGTGAATTTTGTGAATGTTATTAAAACGGAAATATTGAGTGCATATGTGATTTGATGATTTAATACACTGCCGAATAAATGCATTTTATATTTTTGTAATGTTCCCAAATCGGCGTTATAGGTTATAATACAGTCGTCATCACCTATCTTCTGGTTATGCCAAACTTATTTTTAGCTGCTGAACCGCTGTAACGAAGTTGTGGATAAGGTTTCTAAAGTGTTCTGTATTAAATTTTCTTCACGTTGAAAGTTACGAAGTCAAGAAAATGGGTCTCATCATATCCAGATTTCGCGTAAGTATCTTTCTTTTTGATTAATTATTACATATGTTTTGTAATTGAGCCAAAACTATTTCGATAGCTTTCAAATTTCTTTTGGCGGTAATTCAAACCTGTGTCCCTGGCACAATGATTTTAGGTACGAGCCTAATCGGCCATACAAACCGTACGTGCTATATTTGTTATTTGAAATTTCCTTATTATTTTACGTAGGCTGTATGCAGAACATTACAATGTTATCATAGTCATTTAGATAGAAAGAAAAAAAACCCTGCTTAACATTCAAAACATGATAATAAAAGTCAAACTAAATAGTGCAGCCACAAAATAAACTTAATTTTTACATCATTATAAAAAAAATCTTTCTTATTTATTTAAAAATAGTTTTATCAATTAGTCTTTTTGTAATATATTTTAATATTATCAGTCTACATATTTAGTATTTTAAATTCTTTGTCAGCATTAAATTACTTAATCTCTATACTTTCACTCTGCTAACTTTCATGTTTTTTTTGTAGAAAATGCAGTTTATATATAAATTAAAACATGAATTTTTGCATTCTCAATTTATAAGTATTCAAAATAGATTTCTCACATTCCAAAATAAAATAATTATGTATGATTTTGATGTAGATTTTTTTATTCATACATAATAATATGCATACTACAACAGCATAGGTGTGTGGTGTTATAATTAAAAACACTACAGCCCAAAGGAGTAAGGTCTCAGTGTTTTTTAAAGCACTTCTATAATCAGTTCAATTCAGTGTATCTATGTTATTCAACTTTCCATAGTTTCATAGCTCATGACCTTTAAAAACTATGTTTTACATACGGTTCCATTCTGTACCTACTGATTCTTTAATTAAAAAATAATTAGTAGTCTATATTTTATTTCTATTGTCATTATCATCAACCTATTGCCACCCACTGCTGAACGAAGGGCTTCCTTATGGAGTGCCATTTATATACAAACAATCAATTTAACTCGACCTTTCCTGGGTTAAACAACATGTGTATGTGTATTTATCTGAGTAACCATCACCTTCATCATTCAACTTGTGATTCTTTTAAGACATGACAAAATGCTGCAATTCTCCACATTTTTTCATCAGTAAGTTTTCAGTAGGGGATTAAAATCTAAATATTTAAAAATGATAACTTGGTTTGTGTGTGCTGACTTAATGTACAACTCGGTTCAAAGATTTTTTTTTTGTTTTGTTTTGTTTCTCAATTCAATGGGGCACAGCGAAGTAATGTAGGTTATAGCCAGTAATAATAATACTAGAATTTATTCAGACACCATATACAATAAAAATATATAATTACAATAATAATTAATTTTTTTATAGTATATTCTCAATCACATTAATTTCTTATTATTACGATTAATCTATTTTTGATAGGTTTAAAATAGTCACTGTTTTGTTTGACACCCGGTAATGTGTCTTTTGTTGGCTCCCCTAATTGTCTCCATTTCACTCTTGCTGTCTGCCTTTTACCTCATCCACCCATCTTCTTGGTGACCCGCCACAGTACATTAGGAATATATATTATCATAATGTAGAAGGATTAATCTGACAAAATTCATGCTCCTTTTTTCCAGTGCTTGCATACAATTTGGAAAATGAAATATTTGGAGTATCTTGTCTTTCATAATTATTTATGTGGTCACATAAAACTATGCAATAATTATTTCTTTTAGTGATAGTCAAGTATTAATTGCATAATCTGTATACTCTTATGTAAGGAGAATTTTTAAGTGAAAACAAAGATAGGAATGTGAAATTTGAATTATTTAAAAATTTTATTATATAGAAGAAGTGCCAGAATATATGGCATGTGTAACAGATAAACTTGTGCCCAAAATTCCAGATTAATAGGTGAAACAAATTGTGTACTTACATGAGACTTTTCGGCAAAAAAACTGTTACTTCAAGAGTTCAATATGCTACAAAATTGATTTCTCATCAATGAACTCTTGAATTAACTCTGAACTCTTATTCACAATCTTTGCCTACTTACAACTCTTTAGGCAAGCTAATTTTAATTGTGACTATAAGTTGTCGTAACCGGGGAACAATAACAGTGAAATTAATTAAAACAATAACAGGTTGTTACTGAAACTACTGTTTCGTAGTCAAATTTTTATATTTTTTTTCAATTCTCCAGCTCTTACTAGCCAACCTGTGCACTCAAAAGGAATAAATTTACCCCGATTTACGACATTATTTATTTATCTCGTCTCTTAACTTCTAGCCGTAGAGTGATATTATATAGCCTATAACCCTTCGCAATAAATGGGCTATGTAACATTAAAACAAAATTACAAGCCTGCTCCACATCCAACCTACTTATCTGCTGACCAGGGTTAGACAATCCTACCAGTTTAATTACATCAAGTCATTTTTGAATTGTCAAGATTTATGTCAAAGGTTATGCAAAATCAGTGAATTTTTTATTCAATTCTGTCAATTCAGCATTGCAGACAAAAAATTTACCAATTCTGGCTGACAAATTAACCTTGAAATACTAAACAACTAAGACAATTGCTTATACAAGGTATTCAATAAATTGAAATTAATGATATGTGACCAGCAGGTGTATTAATGGCCTACACCTGCTAGACCACAATTCATGGATCTACCTTGTCTATTGTTTCCTTTGTCTTAGTAATGTAATGTGTATTAAAAAATAAAATGAATAAATACAATAGCCTATGGAAGAGCAATGAAAAATATAATATTTTTCTTTTTTTTTTTAATAAAAGAAAACCCGCATTAGGAGTATATCCTGTGTCGCGGTCGCGTAAATTTTACAAACATACATGAAACGAAAACGAAGAATACCCAGACTCAGAACAAAATTTTGGGGATCACACAAAGTATTGTCCCATGTGAGGATTGTCCCATGTGAGGATTGAACCCACAACACTCAACACCGTAGGAAGCGGTGTGGTAACCGTTTAAACCACTACGCCATCCACACAGTAAAAAAATTCTGTGAATGTGCAACAAATGTGTTTCACTGCTACAATAAGTAGGTGTTTTTTGTAAGTTCAATTGCTTTCTGTTTTGTTTCAATTGAATTCAAGAAACAGATGTCCTTTGAGTAACTTCCCCGATCCCACCAACCAATTAGTGGGTAGAGGGAGGGCGATCGTTCTGTAACCTCACCAACTCGGTGAATTTCTCATTTATTTCATTGAATAATATTAATTTGAACAGCTATTGTATAGCCTTTTCTAGCATATCATGTTTAAACTAATTAAATACCAATGCTTGCGGGTCGAATTTCGACCGTTTTCAGTTTCTTGTTTTATTTCGAAGATCAGTATGAAGAGATGTAAAATGTGAGCTTTCTGCATTTCTTCGAATTATAAAGTTTAATTATTGCAAATACCACATTCCTGTCTTTACATGTTTCTTAATAAAATATCATCACCAGCTTTTGATAGTCCACTGCTGGACATAGGCCTCTCCTTAGACAAGAGGTTTTGACCACGCTGGCCAGACGGGTAGTATAGGGTTCATCTCAAGTTTTCCTTCGCTTTGCAGTGCTATTGTCCTGCGTAGTTTGCTCCTTAGTCGGCTCTTACGACAACCACGGGATGAATAGCGGCTGACACTCGGTATTCTTAATCCGTCACTACACGGACAGTAATAAAATGCATACAAAGAATACTTCACATGTCATATAATAATATATAAAATTAAATCTTATGAAACGACTTATCGACTTCTAAACCATGAACCGGTGTCAGGTGATCATTAATTTTAAAGCGTATTTAGGTTGCGGATTAGGGCTGCTACTAGTGTTGTGGCTGAAGCATAAATAAATAATTTATTTGACCAATACAGTACACTAAGTACTAAAACTGCACGGATGGCGTAGTGGTTTGAGCGGTCGGTACGCTCAGTGTTTTGGGTCCTATCCCCACGTGGGACGACACTTTGTGTGATCCACAAATTGTTGCTATAAGTCTGGGTGTTCTTTGTGTCAGTTTCATGTATGTTTGTCAAGTATTCCGCGACACAGGATATATTCTCTTTTAACATAAATAAATTATAATAGGGTTAAAATACCTCTTACGTATATATACTGTTTAAAAAAGAAGAAGAAAGCAATAGTAATTATTGCTTTCTCGACCATAAGCACACGCAGTGAAATACCAGACCAGTTCCTGTCCCCTTAGGGCTTCTCACGATATAACAGGATACCTATTTTTTTATGAAATGTGGGACAGGCGAACAGACGGGTCACCTGATGGCAAGTGACAACCGCTGCCCATAAACACTGCGACTCAAAAGTCACAAGTGCATTGCAACTCTTTGAGTTCCGTGTTAAGTGCCAAAGGAAAGGGATTAGAATTTTAGATCATGTAGTAATTAATCAGATTCTAATATACTTACTGTCAGTATTGAAATTCTAATAATTGTCTTGTTATCATGCAATGTCAATAAATTGGAATGTTCTTCAATTTGTTTTTATGTATCCGGTCGGATAGTCGGAGATTCGTAAATGATAAAATAAATAAAATATTCACAAAATGCTTAGAAACACCGGATACTTTGTACCCGAATATCTAATACAGACGTACCATTAACGGCTCGGTTTCTTTAGATTGATTACTGTAAATATACAGTTAAAGTATAGTTGTTTCTATGTCTAATAAGTATGTATTTACAAAAAAAAAGTATATATGTATTTATATCAGTTGTCTAGTAGCCATAGTACGTAGGTACTATGGCTACTAGACAACTGATAGATTTGCTTAGGGTCGAGATGGACCAGTAAGAATATTCCGTAATAAGAATGCCGTAATACGTCCCGTAAACGTATACAAATATACTTAAAACGTACTAAGTTAAAATTACTAAGAAGGTGCATAATACACCGTAAGAAAATCCTTTTTTTCTCCACTGTCCTCTAAGAAGATGCCGGCGATCTTGATACCCACATAATATACAGAATTACCACAACGGTTTATGCTGTAGAACGTGTCTCGCCAGGGT